AAGACGGGCGACTCTATTGCCGAATCCGCCAGGAACAAGCTCTACAAGAGCATTCTCGAAGCATGTGACACGATCCGTCAGATTAGCCAGGAGATGCGAGGCATGGAGAACGAGCTCGGATACCGGAAACGTAACTTCGACGACATGCAGACCCAGTTTGTCAACCTCCAGGGTGCCGTGAACGCCCTCATCGATCGCGATGCAAACCCCGTGCAAGGCCGCGCTGCAGTCACAAACGCCGATGGTATCAAGCAGGGTCTGGAAAAGAAGGAGGGTCTCTTCCGAAAGAACATGATGGGCAAGCGTGTCAACTTCGCCGCGCGCAGTGTCATTTCGCCTGACCCGAACATCGAGACCAACGAAATCGGTGTCCCTCCAGTGTTCGCCATGAAACTTACATACCCAGAGCCTGTCACGAACCACAACTTCTACGATCTCAAGGAAGCTGTCCTGAATGGTCCCGACAAGTGGCCAGGAGCGCATGCCATCGAGAACGAGTTTGGACAAGTAGTGTCATTGAAGAAGAAGAACTACGAAGAGCGACTAGCTTTGGCCAACCAACTGCTTGCACCCACAAATTCATACTCCAATGGAGCTCGGAATAAGAAAGTGCATCGTCACCTGAACAACGGCGATGTTGTTATCATGAACCGACAGCCGACACTGCACAAGCCGTCAATGATGGCACATCGCGCCCGTGTATTACCGGGAGAGAAGACCATTCGCATGCACTACGCCAACTGTAACACATACAATGCCGATTTTGACGGTGACGAAATGAACATGCATTTCCCCCAGAATGAGCTTGCCCGAGCGGAGGCTATGACGGTAGCGGATACTGATCATCAATACTTATCTGCGACTGCTGGAAAGCCTCTGCGTGGTTTGATTCAAGATCATATCTCCATGGGAGTCTGGCTTTCGAACAAGGACACATTCTTCACAAGAGAAGAGTACCATCAACTACTCTACTCTTGCCTGCGACCGGAAGACGGCCATACCACCTCAGGTAGACTTGAAACAGTTAATCCTGCTATCATGAAGCCTAGGCCGATGTGGACGGGAAAGCAAATCATCACTACTGTCTTGAAGAACATCAAGCCCGCAGAATACCAGGAACTGACGCTCACATCCAAATCGTCAACCAATGGCAAACTCTGGGGTGTTCACGTCGAGGAGCAGTTCGTCATTGTCAAAGATGGCCAACTGCTTTCCGGTATCATGGACAAGGGTCAAATCGGACCTGCCGCGGGTGGTCTCATCAACGGCATCTACGAGGCTTACGGAGAGACGATTGCTGGTCGAGCCCTCAGTATCATCGGACGGCTGCTTACCAAGATGCTTCACATGCGCGCCTTCTCTTGCGGTGTCCAGGATCTAATTCTCACAGAGGAGGGAGATCGTGCCAGGCTGGAAGAGCTCCGTAAAGCGGAGAAGGTTGGGTTCGAGGTCGCCTCCAAGTACGTCACCATGGACGCGGAGAAGATTGACCCTATGAACCCAGAACTACGGCGACGACTTGAATCCGTGCTACGAGACGACACCAAGCAGCACGGTCTGGATCTACTCACCAACACTGCTAACGGCAAGATTTCCTCGGCGGTCACCTCAGCCTGTCTGCCCGATAAGCTCATCAAACCATTCCCCAAGAACCAAATGCAAGCCATGACAGGCTCTGGAGCTAAGGGTAGTATGGTCAACGCTAACCAGATTTCATGTAATCTTGGTCAACAAGTTCTGGAGGGCCGAAGAGTTCCAGTCATGATTTCTGGAAAGACACTGCCGTGCTTCAAGCCCTTCGAGACGAGCGTACGCGCTGGTGGTTATATCGTCAACCGTTTCTTGACTGGTATCCGACCGCAAGAGTACTACTTCCATATGATGGCTGGTAGAGAAGGTCTCATCGATACTGCTGTCAAGACTTCGCGCTCCGGTTATCTGCAAAGATGTATCATCAAGGGTATGGAAGGTCTCAAGGTCGAATACGACACCTCTGTCCGCGACTCCGACGGTACTATGGTCCAGTTCCTGTACGGTGAAGACGGTCTGGACACAACCAAGCAGAAGTATCTCAATGACTTCAAGTTCCAGGCGGAGAACTTCTACTCGCTAGCGCAATCCCTCCACACTGCTGAAGCCTACCCGAAGGTTTCTAGTGCTGAAGCAGTTGAGCACAACAAGAAGGCGGCGAAGAAGGCTAGGAAGGGTGATGTGGCTGCAATGGACCCTGTTACTGCAGTTTACACGCCATCGAGACATAGTGGTAGTACTTCAGAACTGTTCTTGCAGGCTAAGCGCGACGTAAGTTACTTCGTTCTAGTTGACTGTTAGAGGCTAACAATCATAGTACTGTGATCAAAACCCCGACAAGCTGCTCAAGAACAAGAAGAAGGACGAGGAGGGTGAGATCCTCAAGCGTACCTTTGAGCAAATGCTTGACCTCAAGTACCTGCGGTCCCTGGTCGAGCCTGGCGAGGCTGTAGGTGTCGTTGCTGGCCAATCTATCGGTGAACCCTCAACACAGATGACGCTGAACACTTTCCATTTGGCTGGTCACTCTGCGAAGAACGTCACACTCGGTATTCCCCGTCTACGAGAAATCGTCATGACTGCTAGTGCGAATATCTCTACCCCGTCGATGCAACTATATCCCCATCCCGAGCTTTCCAAATCAGACAACGACAAATTCGCCAAGAGTATCAGTCGTCTGCCACTCTCGGCTGTGCTCGACAAGGTCACTGTGACTGAGACCACTGGTTCCGGTCGCGAACATAATCAAGCCAGGAGCTACAAGATCCGCCTGGACTTCTACCCGGCGAAGGAGTACACGAAGGAGTACGCTATCAAGGTTCGCGACGTTGCCGAGTCCATCGAGCAGAAGTTCTGCCCGCGTCTCCAGAAGATCATCAAGGCCGACCTCAAGAAGAAGGCTGCGAACAAATCCTTGTCAACGGCGAAGTCGGCTGCCATCCCAACTATCGGCGAGAAGACTGGTAGAAGCGGAGAGCAAACAGTTGAAGAGTCAGAGGAGACCTTCCGCGCGGGACGGGAAGGCGGTGCAGAGGACGATGACAGTGACGACGGCGAGGGTGACAACGACACTACTCACGCCAAGGACCGAGGCCGACGTGAAGACAGCGTGGCTTACGAAGAGCCAGAAGAGGAGGAACAGGCAGTCAACGACAACCTTGATCGAGAAGACGAGATCAACGACGAGGACGAGACCTACGGTGGCAGCCCCAAGCCCTCGCGCGCAGCTACCCCGGAACTCAATTCTGACGACGAGGACGAGGTTACACTCGTACCCACTGACGAATCCTCGGACATCCGCCACGACCGCATCTGCCACGACAACGAACACATCCACGACTTCACCTTTGACGACCGCAAGGGAGCTTTCTGTGAGATCACGTTTGAGTTCGAGACATCGACTCCCAAGCTGCTCATGCTGCACCACGTAGAAGACGCTGCCAACTTCGCCACCATCCACGTCATCCCCGGTATCACTGCCGCTCAATACTCAGATGCAGATGGTGTCATCAACACCGAAGGCTCCAACCTGATCGCCATGCGCGAGTACGCCCACATCATCGACGTTAACCGCACCATGACCAACGACATCGTCGCCATGCTGCACCTCTACGGTGTCGAAGCCGCCCGCGCGACCATCGTCAAAGAAATGCACGGCGTCTTCTCCGGTCACGGTATCTCCGTCGACCAACGCCATCTCAACCTCATCGCCGACACCATGACCAAGGGCGGTGGCTTCACACCCTTCAACCGCATCGGCATGAAGGGCAACGTCAGTCCTTTCATGAAGATGAGTTTCGAAACCACCGTCGGTTTCCTCAAGGACGCCGTCATGGAGCGCGACTGGGACGAGCTCAAGAACCCCAGCGCACGCATTGTCGTCGGTAGACTGGGTGGTATCGGTACGGGTGCGTTTGACGTGCTGGCGCCGGTCAAGATCAGGGATCCGCTCAAGAACGTCGCGGAGGAGGTCAATGAAGCTATCTCCAACGGTGTTCGCGAGAAGCGCGATTCAGACTCCGAGTCTGAGTCTGAAGAAGAAGAGGAGGAAGATGAGGACGTCGATGGCGATGTTCAGATGGATGACGTGGAGATGCAGGATGTGGACGCTGTTGAGGAGGTGGAAGAGGTCGTTCAAGAGTCGCCGAAGAAGAAGGAGAAGAAGAGTAAGAAGCATAGGCGGAGTAGCGATTAGGCTCTGCGGATCTTTTTTGCTTGTACGTTACTATGAGTGCATGTGGTTTTAAGCATGGTTTGGGCGTTTGGGGAAAAGGCGGGTTAATATCGATGTAGTTTAGCATGTTTGCATTGTGAAATGGCAAAAGTGTTCATATCCATCTGGTTTCGATGCTTGTCTTTAATCGTGACATCTACTGGCAAAGCAACACATATCGGGGTGCCTGGGTCCAATTGTGCCGCCATGATGGAGTCTGTGTAGATGGATGAAGGAGGAAACAGCACACGAGCGCGAGAGGTTTTATTCTCTTATGCTTTCTCTAGATACTAGCAGCTGCACATATATGAAGTGTAATTCACGTCAGATATCAATAATTATAGTTCCAATACATTAAAGTCAAGCCTCACAAGACACATGATGTATCGGGATCTGTGCATATAAGAAGAAGACGTCTAGATAAGCGTGATTGCATGCTTCTCGTAATTATTTGGGTCCCAGTTACGAAATTCGGGATAGTCTGGAATGCCCTTCTGTCCCATCCATCGAGGATGAGGATGATCGAACGCACCAATTCTGCGCCACGTTGTTCTGCTTTCGTCAACAGGTTCGACAATAATACCTATGAGCCTTTTGATGCACACATAGTGGTCATCTCCGATGGCCAACGACGTCCTTTCGTCCTGCACAAGTAGAAGGAAGTAGGCAGCGCTCATGTCTCGAATGAGAAAATCCTTCCCTCCATATCCTGTGTCGAACCACTCGTGCTGTTCAGCATTGTCTTCCCAGGAGCGTCTTATGTTACGTTCTGATACTTGTCGAAGGCCTTTGCGAAGGTGGCCGGAGATGTGAACACGAGCGGATGAGATGCAGCCAAGAAGATTGGGACCAGAGGGTGTAACGTCGATTTCCTCAATTCGCCCAATACACGTATACCCAGATTCTGCGCTGTTGTCAGGGTAGTCGAGATCGATGAAATTGACGGGAAATTTCACAGAGGCCCAAGACCACGAGGGTGCTAATGAGATTAGAGGTGGCGCAAAGGCAGTATGGTGGAAAGAGAGCTTACCTCGATAGCCGTTGGGGAACGGAGAGTATTGGTTAAGCTCTTGGTCGTCGCGGAACCAGCATAAACCTGCGATGAAGTCGTTCCTCCATAGCCCGGCACAGTACTCGTCCTGAAGGGAAACTTGAAAATGATGTGCGAGACCTGATAAGGCAGGGAAAAAGTCCGAATCGTACGTGAGTTGACACTTGCTGAATGCTTTAACCACGTTTAGCCAAGCCTTGTGTTGCTCATATTGCTTGGTACTCTCGTTGTATTCAGTAAAGATCCTTCCGAGGCGAAGATTGGATTCCGGAAAGTACCATGGAAAACCGAATGGGAAGGTCTCGCACGCAACTAACTCAGAGCATTCCCAGACCATCTGTTCGCCAAAACATACTGTTCTGGGACTGAGAAGTCGTTCCTGTAGCACCCACCCACGCTTGAAGAGAGCACTACCCTGGAAGTCGTCCGCATGATATCCATCATAGAGGATACCGCTGTACTCTCTGCCTTTTCGCTTGATTGTTACAGCGAGTGGTGAATAGACCAGGGGGTCTCGGGTTGCGAATAAGCCTGAACTCAGTCCTTGTGGTTGTTTCTGTCCACTACCGAATCCCGGCAAGTCAAGACTTGGGCTCGCAGGCGAACGTTGTAAAGCGAACCAGTCATCTCTCTCTGCACTCGTCCTGTCTTGATCTCTTAAACGCCAATCATTTGTAACATCGGTGCTGCAATCGACATTGCTTTCTTCGTGCATCTCTGATTCGCATTTGCCCTTGGTCGCACTGTCCGGCATCCAGTCGCTGTCTGCCGGTGGTCGTGCAGCATCAGCGGCTCCAGTGGCACCAACATTGAGGACGGCATTCTGATAAATGTGGTCCATCCTGGATATCTCAGATGCCTTATCAGCCTCGTCATCTTGTATAATGCACAGAGCATCAATCCAGACGTATGGTATCTGCAATGCCTTAGCCAATGTAAAGGCGTCTTGAAATAGCTGTGGAAATTCGAAGACGTTCACACCCCACTCCAACTTCTTGATATTGCATTGCAGCAGTTTTGGCATTGGGTTCTGCCACTTGTGGCTAATTGTCATATACACAGGGGCTTTTATGTCCCCTGCGCATGCCGGGGCTACGACCTTCACTGTTTGCGTACTGACCGCAAGCAAGCGCGATGGCATTGTTTCCACATCTTGGATATTTGAAAGCTGGTTGCAGCGCTTGTGGGTTTCCGAACACTTTTCAAACCATGCGGAAGCCTGGGCCATGCACCGCCGATCGCTGGTGTTTTCGGGTAGAGTAGGCAAAGCAAGTTGGTCAGGAGAGGGATTACTTTGACTAACTTGAAATTCGAGTCGTTGATAAAACCAATCGATCGGCACGCTGTAGGACGATGTCGGTAGAAGCGGCAGTGAGTGGGTCGTTGATTGTAGTGAGTACTCTCCGCTCTCATCTATGAGAATGGTATCAGGTTCGTCCGCACTGAAGCTGATGTGTATCTCCCAACATGAGTCCACTCTTCCGCGTCTCCGATGTAGATACCGAACCAATGCCTTGCATAAAAGGCAGCCGCTTTCTGCCGACAGCACTATAGTACGCCCCTCGCGCGTGACTCGGCATGGATCAGTTACAGCTTTATCTGGCTGTACGAGAAACTCCTGGCAACCAGCGCAGACAAATCCGTGTTGCATTGACGGAGATAGCGAAGGACACAGCACGGGTTCCATTCCGACCAGTCTATATGCAGATTGTTAACTTTAAAGAAGCTGCAGGTCGCCAAACTGTAAGGTAAAGATAGATAGACCGCAGCGTTTTCCATCGACGCTCAACGAAGAGCATGCATCGTAATAGTGATGGAACACGATGAACCAAAAATAGAAGACATGATTGTACCTACCTAGATATGTGTGTACTGCTGGTCGGAACTGGCGAGGATTGACATCTCCAGGGCTAGCTAAAGAGAGTACATCCAAAAGGGATGCGTCTCTATAAAACCAGCTGCCGTTGTGGGAGCAGTAGTTCCAGGACGTGCATTCCAGTAGACGATGCGAAGGCTACAAGGAAAAGCACTCGATAGGACGCGTCCGCCAATGAGAAAGACAAGCTTGCGATCCTCTAGGGGTCGACTCGCCGCGGTATGTAATATGACTAGGTGAAGATTATGATCTGCTATCCCTAGATTTGGATTCTCAGTAGCAATCTAAGGTGTAATGCTGTTTATTTGAGAGAACAGACTGTTTCCCTCTGCAGTTGCCTGCGTAGCCTACCCCGCACCACGAGGTTACTCAAGGTAGCCACCCTGTAAACGTGGCTCTCAAGTCTGCATAGCACATATGTCATTGGTGTCTTCTTCTCAGCACGGTCCCATCAATCGACTCCCATCCTATTCGCGCAACTTATTAAACGATGTCACACAATCGTGATCGTGTGGCGCTCGCTTCGAGAGGGGTCCCAGTCATCGAACTCATGGTACTCGCAGGGTTCGTCACTACACCCGAAACAGTGCCTGAACATGCCAATCCTCCGATAAGTTTGCAACCGCTGATCTACACATTCGACGATCAATCCAAGCAGCACCCTGACTTCATCCATCTTGCGCGAAGTCCCGAATGTCGTATCGTAGTGATGGAGGATAAAATGAAAGCTGTCGCTAGAGGACCGGAGCGCATCTGCAGTGCATCCAGCATCGTAAACCTCGTAACTGGAGGAGAAAGAGTCAATGATTCGGGGTGCTTGCTCATACTTTCTTTCACTGCTCCGTACGATGTGGCCAGAGATTCGCAATTTACCGCTAGATAGTTTGCCTGAACTCAATCCATCGTCCTGTTTCGTCTCGATAGACTCGACTCTGGCGACGATCTTCTCTGAGGAGAAGGACTCATTTGAGTCCCAATGCATCGGAAATGCCACTGGAGTGACAACCGACGCCCATGACCAAGATGGTGCTGCTCTTGTAAGTCAAAAGTGGGAAAGGCTACTGCTAGGTGATAATACCTCTATATTTCTCCGGATAGACTTCAAGCTCGCACCCATGTATTTCGTGCTTTACAAACCATCCAAGCTCATTTATCATATCATTGCGCCACATCCCCACCAGATAGTCATCTTGCAGCACCTCTTCAAACTGACGCTGAAGGCCCGACAGGGCCGGGAAACAATCCTCTCCGAAAGATAATTTGCAGTTTGAGAACCATTCAACGACTTGCAACCAGCTTCGATACACATCCGGCTTGTGATGTTCTCCTACTCGAAACGGAACGTTCTCTTCGAGTAGTGTGGTGATGCGGAGAGGGACAGAATGTCCAAACCTCGGGAAGCTAAAGAAAGGCTGTGCCTTCTTCTCCGGAAAGGATTCACATGCCGAGGTTTCGGTGCATTCCCAATGTATTTGTTCTCCGAAATAGATCGACCTCGGACTGAGTAAACGCTCTTGCAACGCCCATCCGCGACCCATGAGCGGGGCCTTCGCAATCTCTTTAAATGTGGCGGACCCGTAGACACGAAGCTGCAAGTCTTTACCAAGCCATCTAATATTAACAGCGAAAGGCGTATGTTGCCTCGGATCGCGCATCGTAAATAAGCCGACCCCGGTTTCCTTTGTCGTCCCTTGATCCAAAAGGCCACCAATGTTCAGCAGCGCGCCTTGGTAGATCTTCCCCATCAAAGCAATCTCTCGCTGCACATCGGCGACGTCGTCTTGAATGATACATAGCGCATCTATCCAGAGATATTTGATACCCAGTTCTCTCACGACAAAGATGGCATCTTGAAAGGTTCGTGGTAAGGCCTCCTGGTCAATTTCTCGTTGCATCCTCGAAATGTTATCTCGCAAGAGCTTCGGCGTTATGTTGACTTGCCATCTGTGACTCAGCGTTACGTAGTGCGCACTTCCAAGATCATTGATATCGTCTTTCGGGACAAGCCGCGCGTAGCCTTTTCCTAGTTCCAGTAGACGCGCAGGAAACGTGTCGTAAGTGAGGGTCAATCTTGCCTTCCCACATCGTTCATGACTCACCAAACAGTGCTGCATCCATTTCGACACCTGATCGAAACATCTTTGGTCTTTTGTGTGTCGCGCCATGAGGCTTTTCGGTACCATGAAGCCTTTATTCGGAGCGTTATGTTCCATGTACAGATAGTGTGATGTATTTTTCGGATCATCTTTCGGGTAGATGCGAAAGACTCCTGGAACAAAATATGGATTTTGTGCAGACACATCTAGGCTGCTATTGAGTTCCAGATTCTTGATAGAACCGTATTTCGCGGTGAGTGTGTGTTGGTGGCAAATGCAAATTCGGCAACCTTTTGCAGCTGCATCAGCAATGCATTGTGGATCGTAAGTAACCGCTCTATGATTTCCACCAGATTCTTCAGGAATATCGAAAGCCCTCTGGCACACGGTACATAGTGAAGCATCCTCCAAAGCCATTTGGCGATGGTTTCTCAGGATTATGCGATGTGGTCCATCCGAATCAGCGCGGAACTATATTTTCTATAGTATGAAGTACCGATAGACTGTCGAGAAGTCAGTTGCATAACCTGGCAATAGTTTGACCCGAAGAATAGTCCAAGGCTTCGAGTGTGCCTCTTGCGATACCTACGTAGTAGTGAATGGATGAATGCTCACTATCATTACTGGGGCTCATCCCGATAACCTGTAGCACAGCGCACCGAACGTGGAACGAACAACAAGATAGCATTAGATCATATTCAGCTGTAGGTTGAGCTATCGGTCTCCTTGGATCAGGTTCATTGTTCGCATGGAAGAACCTTACCCCGCATTACGAGATCGGGATTAGGCAGCATCATGGCAGCCGCTTCACGCATGTCGTCATTCCTGCCAAGATCAATGCCAAACAATACAGTGTGATACTACACTGGACGTACGATGGGATAGATCGCCAGATATGTTGTTACCTGGGTATGGCAGACTACCTAGGTAGAGACGAATCGCCATCGAGCCACGATAGTGATGAGCCGGTGTTTATCTCCGTTGGTAAGTCCGCTTTGAGGTGGCAGCCTGGGACTTGACAATCAAAGCATCTTACTCTTCTCTTATCTTTATTAATCGTTTCTAGCTAGTGTAGGATCTCGCTTCTGCGATAGTGTGCAGCTGTTGCGATGTTGCTCTACCATTGTCTCTTGTTGGTTTAACGCGTTGTTTCCACGTTTTGATCCACAGGCTATTGCGTGCGAGTTCTCGACTCTCGTCTTTGCATAGTCATTGCCAAATACGCGGACTTCATCATGAATTGCTCTCTCGTCTCTGACGATACCTTCGGTCCTCAGTATTGCGACGACTTCGACTTCACACTAGTCTTCGAACAGAGCTTCTTCCAGATTGCGCCATGCGCTCTACTACTTCTCGCTCTCCCAATCCGAGCCTCCCAATTGCGACGACAACAAACGAAATGTGCAAGATCATGGGTGCGCCTTGGCAAACAAGCCATCATATCACTCCTGGCTCTATGCCAATGCGCTGTACTGATTTCCTGGGCCCTTTCCAATAATGTTAGTCGAACCGCTGTGGCAGCGGCAAGCTTGTCCTTCCTCGCTTGCTTGGGCCTGCTTTGGCTGTCTTCCGTTGAGCATATGCGCTCAGCGAAGCCCAGCGATATGATCAGCGTCTTCATCCTCATCTCGATTATCCTGGACATTCCACAGGCTCGTACCTTATGGCTGCGTCATCGCTCAGACACCGCCGTCGCAGCCATTTTTACTACTTGCCTGGCCATCAAGATTGTCATGCTCTTTCTCGAAGCACGATCCAAGAGACCATGGCTACTTCCGCCGTATCAAGCCTACGCGCCGGAGGCACTCGCAAACATCTTCGATCGAACGGCACTGTGGTGGCTTGGCCCGCTCTTTCTCCTCGCGTATCGAAAGAACATTAAGTTCGAGGATTTGTACGGTATCGATGACAGCCTGTTGTCTGAATCAGTAGAAGAGCGGTTCATGCAGTACTGGTCACGCTTCCGTAAGTCACAATTTCAAATCTTTTTAGCCTGCTTCTGACAAAACGAACAGGCCGATATCACACCAGAAAGCGTCCCTTACTGCGAGCAATGATATCGACAACCAAGTGGAGTCTGCTTGCGACTATATTGCCACGTCTCTGTCTCAGCGCTGTGAAGCTCACCCAGCCTCTTCTGATTGACAGAATAACGAAATGGCTCGGAGACGACTCGCGAG